GCGGGCGGATTTTTTTTTTAATTTTTACTCGTTTTTTAATTTTTTAATAGTATTTTTGGAGGGGATGGGGGCCGGTTTTTCCACCATATCGGTGATATTTTTTGTACTGATGTTGCGAAGGCCGCCATTTTGCTTTAAGAACCTTGTATACCCAAGCCTACGCGCTCCTATCGATCAGTATATAGCGCGAAGGTCTGAGCAAGAGAAAAATTTCAAATATTAAACTGTTTTAAGCTGTAAAACGAAGAGATTTACATAAAAAAAAAAAAAATAAATAAAAAAAAATTCAGAGGCGGCAGAAAATCGAGAGGCGGGCGGTGACGCTAACCAAGTATTTTTTTTTATTTGGCCTTACTGAATGAATACCTTTCAGAAACACGTACTTCGTGTACTTCCCTTTAAAGGCTAAGTACACCTTGAGTCTTAAGTTTGTACTAGCTCAAGTACGCGGCAGTAATCATTGCAGTACCAGTCAGGCACGACTAAGAATCCCGAATTATCGATTTAGAATATTTATGGTGTTTAGCGCTTTATAAATTAATAAATTATTATTGGTGGAGTTGATAGATTTGCTCGAACACGCTCAGAATTGTTCACATTTTCAGACGAGAATGTGTACTTGCAATATACACGCCGTAACTGGCATTAGAGGTATATAACTGGTATTCAGAAATTTGGTAAACGGCTGAATAGAAACCAAAAATACAGAGCAAAGATTTGTCTCTTCACAGATTCCCATTCTTATACAACTAGGAAGAGACATACGCATACGTTTTGAGTACGATGTTTTAAAATAGAAGTTTGAAACATTGGCGTGATATTGTACTGTAACGGTGTTTCATAATTCTAGACAAATGATGCATTGGATTCAAATAAAGGAAGTTATACTGAGAAACAAGTGTCGAGCAGTTCCACATCGAGTGCAACAGTAAAGAACACTGTCCATGTTCAACATGCTCATTCTTACCAAACCAGTGTCGTTCAAACTACAGTTTTTCCTCGAACCTCATCAGAGGTAAGATCGTTGGTTTTGGTAGTTTTCAAAATGACTAGACTGGCAGATAAATGCGTTTGTGTGGTTGCCATCATAAGGAATATTACTTTGATCAGAACAAGTTTGACAGTTGCTTGAGTGCACTATATATACAGTATACCAATAATTTCACAAAAATTATAGAAGATAAAAACATAAAGTTACATTGAAATTATGAACAAAACTCGGTTTATAGTATCCCTGGAGAATCACTGCGACTGAATATGCCGGCAAAAACAATGCCTGCATAGTGCCCTGTATAGTTGAAACGACAAATGCACCAACACGTAAGACTAGATTTTAGATTGGTTGGTTGCATAATTTCTCACACAATTGAAAATGCTTACATACAGCAGCTTCCAAGAAATAAGTGTTACAATTATAACAAATATACTTTTCAGCAATCCAGGTTACGGATTTTAACACGTGCTCCTGCTGTTCAAAGTATGTCCTCGACTCCATCAGAAGAATCTAATGAGGTAGGTATAATGAGTTTCTTCAGTTGTAAAGAGTCGTCGCGGGCATTCATTGCCCCGATTTCTACTGGAGACATTCGTCAACCTATATCGTTCGTCTGGATAATCTCCTTTGGGGGCAGACCATTACAAAAGTGATGGGGGGGGAGCAAAAACAATTCGTGCAAAGAAGAAAACAAAAAAACAAAGAAAATTTCCTTTTAAAAATTCGCAAAAAAAGCCATTTTTCCGAAGAAAAAAAATCCAAAAATCATCTTCCTCCTCCCCCAATGGTCCGCCCCTTAGCAAAGCAAATGACGATTGTCCAAACGAACCAGCGATAGAATAATAATAATAATTTATTCATTTGAATAAAGCGCATATGTTATGTTATATACTCGAAGCGCTGTACATTATAAAAATCTAAATATATTAAGAATTAAATATGCTATATAAAACATGGTATTGTATACAATTAGAATATACACTAATGTATGTATCTATAATAAGAATGAAGAATCCAATATGGTCTCAACCTATAAAGGGTTATAAGCCTTATTGAAAATAAATGTTTTCAAGCGTTTCTTAAACACAGAAAGGTTTTCACAGTTCCTGACATCCAGAGGCAGAGAATTCCATAATTGTGGAGCAGCATGTGCGAAAGCCCGATCTCCTAGAGTCTTACAGTTTGTTTTCGGGATGTATAATAGACCTTGACCATCCGATCGTAATGTCCAGCGGTCACTTGATTGTTTTGGTATAAGCATTTCAGAGATATAGATAGGGGCAATGTTATTAAGAGCCTTGTAAACCAGAATACATTGATCTGTTTATTGGCAATGATCTCAGGAACAAATCATGCTGGATACTTTTCTACTGAGTTTTTAATGTTGATAATACCGTATTCATACACGTCACATGTCAAGAACGAACCACACGCCCAAATTGGTCGTAAACAAACTATGACTGGTGATTTTCAATGGATCCGTCTGTTTACAGTACCTCGTTTACGACAATCTTTTCTTTGCCCATGTTCGTCCAGTCGGATCATCTGTAAACCATTCCGGGACAAATATCAGAAATTCAGGACAGCTGAGGATTGAGAGGGATACAACTACCTGGAAAATATAAGCAGAACGTCGACGTTTCGAGCGAAGGCCTTTCGCTACTAACGAGGGCTACGAACTTCTCAACGAAGGCCTTTCGCTACTAACGAGGGCTACGAACTTCTCAACGAAGGGCATTCGCTACTGACGAGGGCCACGAACTTCTCAACGAAGGCCTTTCGCTACTAACGAGGGCTACGAACTTCTCAACGAAGGGCATTCGCTACTGACGAGGGCCACGAACTTCTCAACGAAGGCCTTTCGCTACTAACGAGGGCTACGAACTTCTCAACGAAGGGCATTCGCTACTGACGAGGGCCACGAACTTCTCAACGAAGGCCTTTCGCTACTAACGAGGGCTACGAACTTCTCAACGAAGGGCATTCGCTACTGACGAGGGCCACGAACTTCTCAACGAAGGCCTTTCGCTACTAACGAGGGCTACGAACTTCTCAACGAAGGGCATTCGCTACTGACGAGGGCCACGAACTTCTCAACGAAGGCCTTTCGCTACTAACGAGGGCTACGAACTTCTCAACGAAGGGCATTCGCTACTGACGAGGGCCACGAACTTCTCAACGAAGGCCTTTCGCTACTAACGAGGGCTACGAACTTCTCAACGAAGGGCATTCGCCACTAACGAGGGCTACGAACTTCTCAACAAAGGCCCTTCGCCACTAACGAGGGCTACGAACTTCTCAATTAGTTATCGCAGGAAGAAAGATTTTATTGCGAGTGATTTTGACAATGACCTTGTTGAAGAAATCCCGTTAAGCCTTTATGAAATCTTTGATGATCCAAACGATCTATTAGACTGTTGGTACTCTCACTTTATGAAAATTTTGGATAGGCATGCACTTTTAATAAAACGTAGAGTCAGAAATAATAAACTGCCGGTGTGGTTTAATTCTGAAGTACGTTGCTTTAGCCGCAAAAGAGACTTTTTCTTAAAGCAATTTCTAAAAACCAAAAACTCTGACACATGGTGTACCTACAAAAAATGGAGAAATAGAACTGTTCATATTATTAAAAAGTCAAAAGAGGACTGCTATAAGAACCTCCTGACTGATAATGTACATAATCCACGACAATTATGGAAAATTCTAAAAGATATCTTGCCGACCAATGACACTGTCTCCCAAATAACACTTAACATTAATGGCAAGGAGATCAGTGATCCTATCGAGGTTGGCGATCTCTTTAATGAATAGTTCTCTATTGCAGACAACTTTGATATCAGTTTACTAAACAACCCAATTAATACTCATTTACCAATTGCAACAAATCATATTAAGTTTACAATTCCACTGATAACAATCGATGACATACTAAATCTTGCAGCCGAATTAGACCAGAACAAGTCAACCGGTCTTGATGGTATTTCTGCCTACTTCATCAAGTCCTCGATTCATTCCATTGCACCCATAATACTTCGCATTTGTAATATGAGCATTGAAAATGGCGTCTTTCCCAACATGTGGAAGAAAGCTAGACTGATTCCAATCTATAAAGCTAAAACACGTACTGAGAGAAACAATTACAGGCCCATTTCTATATTACCGATTCTATCTAAACTCCTCGAACGACATGTTGCCAACTCATATGTAAAATTCCTCACAGAAAATGATATTCTATCAAGTTGCCAGCATGGTTTTCGAGCCCATCACTCTTGTGAATCTACTCTAATTAGTCTAATATTGATCTGTGAACACCTTCTCGATAACATTGAGCAAGGTTTAATTAATGGTATAGCTCTAACTGACCTCTCCAAAGCGTTTGACCTGGTCGATCATAGATTGCTACTGCAGAAATTAGAACAATATGGCATTACTCCAATAGCTTTAAAATGGTTTAAATCGTATCTAAATGATCGTTACCAAGTAGTACAAATTGCATCATCCCTATCCAACCCAGCTCTGATAAAGTCTGGTGTGCCTCAAGGATCTATACTAGGACCAATTCTCTTTCTTATCTTTATTAACGATTTACCCAGTTACGTTGGAAGTTCTAAGCCTTTTTTATTTGTCGATGACTCTACACTAATATCCTCCGGATCGGACCTTCACGAACTTAGTGTCTCTCTAAAGTCAGATATGACCTCGGTGTCCCGTTGGACTAACCATAACAAAATGTCACTTCTCAACGAAGGGCATTCGCTACTAACGAGGGCTACGAACTTCTCAACGAAGGCCCTTCGCTAATAACGAGAGCTACGAACTTCTCAACGAAGGCCCTTCGCCACTAACGAGGGCTACGAACTTCTCAATTAGTTATCGCAGGAAGAAAGATTTTATTGCGAGTGATTTTGACAATGACCTTGTTGAAGAAATCCCGTTAAGCCTTTATGAAATCTTTGATGATCCAAACGATCTATTAGACTGTTGGTACTCTCACTTTATGAAAATTTTGGATAGGCATGCACCTTTAATAAAACGTAGAGTCAGAAATAATAAACTGCCGGGGTGAAGTACGTTGCTTTAGCCGCAAAAGAGACTTTTTCTTAAAGCAATTTCTAAAAACCAAAAACTCTGACACATGGTGTACCTACAAAAAATGGAGAAATAGAACTGTTCATATTATTAAAAAGTCAAAAGAGGACTACTATAAGAACCTCCTGACTGATAATGTACATAATCCATGACAATTATGGAAAATTCTAAAAGATATCTTGCCGACCAATGACACTGTCTCCCAAATAACACTTAACATTAATGGCAAGGAGATCAGTGATCCTATCGAGGTTGGCGATCTCTTTAATGAATACTTCTCCTCTGTTGCAGACAACTTTGATATCAGTTTACTAAACAACCCAATTAATACTCATTTACCAATTGCAACAAATCATATTAAGTTTACAATTCCACTGATAACAATCGATGACATACTAAATCTTGCAGCCGAATTAGACCAGAACAAGTCAACCGGTCTTGATGGTATTCCTGCCTACTTCATCAAGTCCTCGAAACATTCCATTGCACCAATAATACTTAGCATTTGTAATATGAGCATTGAAAATGGCGTCTTTCCCAACATGTGGAAGAAAGCTAGACTGATTCCAATCTATAAAGCTGAAACACGTACTGAGAGAAACAATTACAGGCCCATTTCTATATTACCGATTCTATCTAAACTCCTCGAACGACATGTTGCCAACTCATATGTAAAATTCCTCACAGAAAATGATATTCTATCAAGTTGCCAGCATGGTTTTCGAGCCCATCACTCTTGTGAATCTACTCTAATTAGTCTAATATTGATCTGTGAACACCTTCTCGATAACATTGAGCAAGGTTTAATTAATGGTATAGCTCTAATTGACCTCTCCAAAGCGTTTGACCTGGTCGATCATAGATTGCTACTGCAGAAATTAGAACAATATGGCATTACTCCAATAGCTTTAAAATGGTTTAAATCGTATCTAAATGATCGTTACCAAGTAGTAAAAATTGCATCATCCCTATCCAACCCAGCTCTGATAAAGTCTGGTGTGCCTCAAGGATCTATACTAGGACCAATTCTCTTTCTTATCTTTATTAACGATTTACCCAGTTACGTTGGAAGTTCTAAGCCTTTTTTATTTGTCGATGACTCTACACTAATATCCTCCGGATCGGACCTTCACGAACTTAGTGTCTCTCTAAAGTCAGATATGACCTCGGTGTCCCGTTGGACTAACCATAACAAAATGTCACTTCTCAACGAAGGGCATTCGCTACTAACGAGGGCTACGAACTTCTCAACGAAGGCCCTTCGCTAATAACGAGAGCTACGAACTTCTCAACGAAGGCCCTTCGCCACTAACGAGGGCTACGAACTTCTCAATTAGTTATCGCAGGAAGAAAGATTTTATTGCGAGTGATTTTGACAATGACCTTGTTGAAGAAATCCCGTTAAGCCTTTATGAAATCTTTGATGATCCAAACGATCTATTAGACTGTTGGTACTCTCACTTTATGAAAATTTTGGATAGGCATGCACCTTTAATAAAACGTAGAGTCAGAAATAATAAACTGCCGGGGTGAAGTACGTTGCTTTAGCCGCAAAAGAGACTTTTTCTTAAAGCAATTTCTAAAAACCAAAAACTCTGACACATGGTGTACCTACAAAAAATGGAGAAATAGAACTGTTCATATTATTAAAAAGTCAAAAGAGGACTACTATAAGAACCTCCTGACTGATAATGTACATAATCCATGACAATTATGGAAAATTCTAAAAGATATCTTGCCGACCAATGACACTGTCTCCCAAATAACACTTAACATTAATGGCAAGGAGATCAGTGACCCTATCGAGGTTGGCGATCTCTTTAATGAATACTTCTCCTCTGTTGCAGACAACTTTGATATCAGTTTACTAAACAACCCAATTAATACTCATTTACCAATTGCAACAAATCATATTAAGTTTACAATTCCACTGATAACAATCGATGACATACTAAATCTTGCAGCCGAATTAGACCAGAACAAGTCAACCGGTCTTGATGGTATTCCTGCCTACTTCATCAAGTCCTCAATTCATTCCATTGCACCCATAATACTTCGCATTTGTAATATGAGCATTGAAAATGGCGTCTTTCCCAACATGTGGAAGAAAGCTAGACTGATTCCAATCTATAAAGCTGAAACACGTACTGAGAGAAACAATTACAGG